CAAGTGACCTGATATACGAGTGTTTCGAGATACCAGCCGCCATAGGAGCGATTCGTTGCTTAGACATACGAGCACGATTTGAGATGAGAAGAGTCTTTTAGAAAAATGTTAATTGCAAAATGAAAATATGAAAAATTTTGTTGGTTGTAACAATGATTTTTTTACCATAGAAATATTTTGTCTATTTTATGATAGTAAATTATTTTATAATTAGTCATTTCAATTATATTTTAATATTAATTATGTAGTAACGATTTACCCACGTAAATATATCGTAGTTTATATATGGTGAGTTCGCGTTATTAGTCCAAATCATTAGTTAGAATTAATATTAGTCCAAAAAAAAAGAGCCGATGTCTCTTGAATTGAAGCATGAAATTATTTAAAATATAAGGATAGCAAGGATGTACGAGTGTAACACATCACAAATATAAATTGTATTTAAACAGAAGGACTTTATAAAGGGTGTAACTCCATAAATGACCTTACAATAAGCAGCTTTCAGAGCTCTAAAAATTGTGCATTAAAATCGTCCCGAAAATTTTTCTTGATCATAGAAGTTGTTCAACAAAAAACTGAATTGAATGGACAGGAGAAAACAATAATTAAATTAGTAAATTTATTTTTAATATTCGAAAAAAACTTAACAAAAATCACAGTGCTAGAATGTATTAATGGCATTTTAATGTATTTATATGGAAAAAATAGTTTCGGGATACGAGCGATTCGACTTAAGAAGCACGGTTTACGGAACAAATTAAACTCGTATGTCGGGGTATTACCGTACTATTTAAGCAAAATTGATATTTAAGAAGAAATAATATGGTCACCATACTTAATTAGTAATAGCATATATAGTTCAATAGCGACATTGCCAAAAATAGTAACGAAAAAAATGTATTAAAATTCCAAAAAGTTGCTCTTCGTATTAACCCTATCATATATCTTATGCTAACACAGTATAAAAGTGTTATTTTCAGATTTGGTTTACTTATATTACGCTGTAGAAAATTGAAAAAACCTGCCAGTTGACTTAGTAGCCTAAATGGACCCAATGTATTACTAATTTCAACAGTTTGTTTTACAAAGCTCTCATTAAACACAACCAACAATTCAATCTCAATACATTTGTTATAAAGAATTATTATTAGAGAGAGATAGAAGGTCAACAGTTGCCGAATATATGTCATAGCCGCTGGTAATTTTTAATTTTGAGATTAACAATACAGTTATATATAAAAATTTTAGTGTGTTACCCTAAACAAGTATAATTTCTATAAGACCAAGACCAAATAATTCACGATATTCTATGACGTATATTAGACATTTTGTGTGCTGACATTTAACATAAATTCATTAAATTTTATGTTAGGATTTGGACACCTGAGACATTCATTGCAGTCGCATATGAATACAGGAAGCCACAATTACATAAGGCATGATTGACGGGCTTGAAAGATTTCTTCGCATCTTCCTGATAAAATTTCAATAAATTCTTATTCATATATCAAGAACAAAAAAATTTTTATATACTAAATAACTAACAGCAAATCAACAAAGAAATCATATTATCCGCAATTATGGCTTAAGTAATAAAGAAATCGTAATAAATCTATGTACATGTTTGAAAACTAATTTGCAGTAGTATTCACATCATTTGTATCAAAGCGTAGAAGATTGAATTTTAGCAACAATTAAATTAGACCGCATTTAATTAATATACAGTTGTACAATAGCAAATAACTTAAATTGTACAAATACACATATATATATATATATATATATGAGTAAGTTCTTCAAGGGCATACATCAAATAAAAGGCAAAGATTTAGAAGTTAATCTTTAATTTTTCCAAACGTTTCGACATAGTATTTTATGTCATCATCAGTGGATATAAATATGGTCTTACATCAGTAGCTAGCGCTAGGAACACAATTTTGCACTATCATATATACATTAACTTGTTTTTTTATATATTAATTTGTTGAACAGAGTATGGCAAAATATTTGTGAAATATATAATATATTTTGCACAGAGAACGTAGTTTATGTGACAGAGCCTCGATGACTACAGCCTCGGGCTCTGTCACATAAACTACGTTCTCTGTGCAAAATATATTATATATTTCACAAATATTTTGCCATACTCTGTTCAACAAATTAATATATAAAAAAACAAGTTAATGTATATATGATAGTGCAAAATTGTGTTCCTAGCGCTAGCTACTGATGTAAGACCATATTTATATCCACTGATGATGACATAAAATACTATGTCGAAACGTTTGGAAAAATTAAAGATTAACTTCTAAATCTTTGCCTTTTATTTGATGTATGCCCTTGAAGAACTTACTCATATTTCTCAACATCAAAATTAACTACTTTAACATATATATATATATATACATGTATATATATATATATTTGTAACTTATTTTTTTGTAATAGAAAACACTGGCATATTAATATTTTTGTACAATCTGTTATGTGAGATGAACTAAATACACACACACACACCCACATATATATACATATATATATATATATATATATATATATACATATATACATATATATATACATTTATACATATATATACATATATATTTATATATATACATATATATATATATACATTTATACATATATATACATATATTTATATATATATATATATATATATATATATATATACATATACAAGTATGCATGTGGCATTAAGCTTCAGGTAAAATATTTGTACTTGGAATCAAACTATGTAATTATTCCTAACCTCAGTATAATAGTAGAATATTAACCCTTTCCACTCGGATTCCGCCACTCCGGCGGCAAAATTAATGTAAATCTTGGAATTCGCGAGTGGAAAGGGTTAATTTATATTTGAATGTTTATCATATATCCTATCACTGGTTTAACATGAGATCGAGCCAACAGCAATAAATGATGTTAAAATAATATTAAATAGATATACATGTATATATGCACAAAAGGCTTATATATATATATATATATATATATATATATATATATATATATGTGTGCGTGTGTGTGTGTGTGTGTGTATGTGCATATATATATGTGTGTGTGTGTGTGTGTATGTGCATATATATATATATGTGTGTGTGTGTGTATGTGCATATATACATATATGATCATATAAATATATGCATTCATTTAAAATAGATAAATAACTTGTGAAAATATGTATTTATAGAGATATGTATTATAATAAACTGTTTTAATGTATTATTGATCAAGAGTGAAAAATAATATTCGAGCTTTTGTTATGAAAGTAATATGCCATTACAAAATTTTACAATATGTTTATCTTATCACAGGGCTAAATTCAAAAATATCTATATCTTATTTTAATGACCCAAAAATAATCACAAACAAAAAAGAAAAAATAATTTTATGTTTCAAATCTGCATATACAATCTAATATAATTTTATGTTTCAAACCCACAAAAAAATCGTTGCTAAACTAATAGTTCTGTATGCGCTTTTTCAGAGATCAAATCAGTTAACTATTTTTAGTATTGTCTGCTATACAATAACAGTGATTTATTTCATTTAATTATATTTTATAAAAATATTGGAATTATCATAAGAAATGTGCAATGAATATTATACAATATACAATTTGTAATATTTGTCTGTAGCCATATTGAATAAGAAATGCTTCAATAGGTAATAGATTTGCAAAGTAAATAGTCTTTGTAATAGCAGTAAACAAATTATTCAACAAACAATACACAAGTTTATTTATGAGCAATAAATAAGTATATATATATATATATATATATATATATATCTTGTAATAATAGTAATATTTCTTAGGAATTACTAGACATTTGTGCATTGGCTTGTGGAACATTTGGTGTCACAACAAGATATTTTTTCAAATATCATTATCGCATATGATTTAGGTTATTATTTCTATTATGAAATAATAATTATTTCATTCCATGAAATCTAATTGACAATGATTAATAGTAAGTAACATATATCACCATAAGAACGAAATGAATCTTAAGAAATAATTCCAGTACAATTTAAGACCATAATTTGTTCAAAAAAATTAATTTACAAAATACCAACCGTTTCAATAATAGTTATGGATTTCCAATATTTATATAATATGCACGTCAAAACAATTAGTTTAAATTTTAATAACAAGAATTTGAAAGATCATATAACAATTTGATCTAAATAGAATTAAATTTTATATTTACTATACATTGTAATACATAGTCAAATAATCATAATTAAAAAGGTGTAATTATTAAAAGTACATACATAAGATCATTTTATACAGATCTGCACAAGAATTTTTTGGAATAATCTAGGAATCCTTGTATTATCACATAGTTATGGATGGTATTTCTTTGTTCATTCTTTATACAAAATATATAATTCCAAAAAATTGGCAATTGATCCTGGATAAACTATTGTTAAATTACAATTAAATCAATTTCATTCAAAATTATATTCCTAATTATAAATCTATTCAAAATAAATCACCCTAATAAAATTTAATTACACTAAAAACTAATTGGCTTAATATCGAAGAGTTCTTTGCCAAAAATATAATCTAAAATTTTAATTATATTTATCATTATTAAAAAAATGTATTACAAATTATCTATATATCATTTCCAATAATTTGATAGCAAATTCCACATCTGTTTAAATTGAAATAAGACCAAAATACTTACAAGTGAAATCATATTGACAAAAAATTAGTTGATGTCTATTTTAATTAAAAGTATTGAATGTGTAGTTATAAAAATATGAATAAAGACTAACAGAATCAATAATTTATTTAGAATACAATTTAAAAGACACTATTCAATATTATATTTGCTTTTTGTTAATATTCAATAAAAGTAAGAGTACAATACTATGGTAATTGCACAATATAGAACAAAATATCACATAAAATTATCGCATGAGGACATCAACTAAAAACTAAAATGACAAACAATCGTGTATAATGAAGTAATGGGAACCAATGAGAAGCGATACTAATTGGTACAAACACTGAAAATTTTAGCTTAAGGCACTATGTCCATAATAAAATTAATATATACAACATATACACGACTGACATGCATACACATGCATAAACATAAACATATATATTATATGTAAACTTTTTAATTAATGTTTACATATTATTATATAGCAATAGATTTCAAAAATATCTATTACGTACAGTACCAACTAGTAACGACTGTTGTAAGGGCCCCACCTTTTGGCCTTCGTCTAATTCACAATAATTAAAGACTTAATATAAAAATAATCTAAAATTTGTAAAACAAGAATTATAAACATCGACATACATTAAAATAATTTGCAGCATCATCAGACGTTTACTGACAGTATTATTCTATCAGTTTAGGACAATCGAGTAATTCACTATCAAGGTGACGAGACAATTTACAAGGGCTGTTTTCTATAGTATTAACACGAGGTAATGACGGTGGCGAGCGGTTAACAAGTACCTGAACAGTGGCGTTAATGGGAGATGGAAATGACCTCATCGTCGCCGAAAAACGGGGGTCAGGAAACCTGCTACCTCCTGGACAAAATGCCATTAGCATTTATATTACTTTGCGCAGGCGTTGTTAATGGCGGCGCAAGCTCCAGCTCCACTAGCAACGGAAAATGGTCTGCAGAAAAAAATAAATTTGTTATTACGTAATTTACACTTCAACTAAAAACAGTGTTGACATTTTAATATATTTTTACAATCATTTATCTAGCTGAAAATTTTCTATATCAATGTGTTTTATATCAAATAGGTAGGTACGTATTTTTTATAGGATAATATAGAAAATAATCGTAAAAGTAAAACCAGCCAGACACCAGTTAATGATATAAAGTTGATCACCTCTATTTGTCATAAAACTAGATAACAATATTAATAATGATACTATATACCATGACTTAATAGATTTTGAATAGAAAGGAAGATGATGCATTGCTTGATAAAAAAAATAACAAGCAATATATATGTATAATGCAAACAAATAACATTAAACTTAAAATCATTATATAAATATCACGCATTTTTTAAAATCACATATCAAATAATAAAATATATTAAATATTTAAATGATGAATTTTAAATATATCGTCGTCTATAGATGGCGACCTGTGTGTCACCTATAAACGACATCCATTGTGACGAATTTTGCTACGTTATTTATCACTCTGAGTTAAATTATTGAGAATTCTAATCAGTTGTTGTGGTTTTTATTTCTTTAAAGTGTAAATTACAATTGTTATTGATAATAATTGAAATATCTGAGAATATTTTGTGTAAGAAATACTTGGGAAGTTTACTGACTCGTACAGCAGCGTCACTCCTGGGAAAAACACTATCGTAGTAAAAGTATTAAATAATAATCAAATACCTGAGGGTATATGTGGATGTGGGCAGCCAATTACTTTATGGTCTTTAAACCAGTCAGCTGACAAAGGACCCAGCAATCCAAGTGGAGTCATTGATTGCTTTGTATAAAAAATATAGTCTATAATCCCCTTAAATTCAAATCTGAAATTCAAATTAATTGTTAGAGTTATGTAATTACTAATAATTAAATGAAATTAATCATTCTTTAACAGAATATTTATTTTCATTAGAATTTTTGTAATATGTTATAATTTTAAATAAATTCCTTGAATTCTTGTTTAATTTGTAAACGTTGCATCTTATGTAAAATGCAATTTAATATATAATGAAAATATTCATTTGTTTATTCATAATTAATGAATTAATTCTAAAATATGTCATTTGAATATATCAGACTGTAAGTTTCAAAGTTACTTACGTGTAGTTGGTGAATGGCATGATATCCTCACTGTAAGCTGAGGCTAGCTTGAAGGAATGTGTGAATTCATTGGGCTTATCACAGCCCGAGATACGTTGCAAACAAGTCTTGTACCCTAGCTCCTTAAAGTCTCTGTGGTCCATTGAAACTCTACCTGATGATAAAAATTCTATAACTCCGGAATCGGGCAGGGAATTAAAATCACCACATAAAAGGAGTTGAATATTATTTTCTTTATGGCCAGGCCGAAAACTATGCCCAGCTTCATCTAATATATGCTTCAACTCATTCGAGAGCATCATAGTCTGGATCAATTTAACGTCACAATATTCGGGATCCCAATGAATATGAGCGGTGCACACCAATATGGGCGTATTAACTTGACTGGGATCCGGCGGGAGTCCGTTTTCCCAAGCCGCCTCCTTAGTCTTCAGTAATGCTGCCAGGCCGATATTATCTTTTGGCATTACTCGATTCAACATGTTGTCAGACCCTTCCGAATTTGCCATTGCGAGTTGGTTAAACTCCACGAGATGTTCTTTAACTAGGGAGAATCTGAAATTCAAATTAAACATCGTGTATATATATATATATATATATATATATATATATATATATATATATATATATACAGTAGAACCTCGATTATCCGAATATAATCGCGTCGGAACTTGCATATTTCGCCCGCGCCGCTGTTTCGATGTCTCGCGCGGCATTATCGCTTTTTGTCGTACATATATACATTTTTAAACATGCCAAAGCGTAAGAGGGTGTTATCCCTTAAAGATAAAATAAATATTATAAAATCATTAAAAAAGCGAAACCGGCCGTAAGTTAGCTGATAGGTATGGTGTAGATACATCCACTATAAGCGATATTAAAAAAAATGCCGATTCAATTTTGTCGTACATTTGCAAGTTAGATAGTGAAGAGGAGAGTGAAAATCGGAAAATGATGAAGAGACCGAAAAATTAACTCTTAGAAGAAGCTTTATATTGTTGGTTCTTACAAAAACGATCTTAAATGAAAAATTAGGTGACGATGAATGGTTTGTAGCAAGTAGTGGATTGATTTTTGTTGATATCTATGTATGTATTTGTTATTTTTGATAAGCAAAACATTATTCTTCATAATTTGGATTATCCGGATTTTCGATTAACCGGATGCTTATCGACAATTAGTCTGGATAATCGAGGTTCTACTGTATATATATATATATATATTTTGTAGAGTTTCGAACAAGAATCCAAAAATAATACAAAATAAAAAACAAGAAAAGTTTTTAAAAAAACAATTTCTTCATTTAATTATTTGTTTATTGTCGACGTTTCAGCATTGCTGTTGAAACTGTATTACAAAAAGTTAATAATTTATTAAAAAGATTTTTTTCATAGAATGCATTATTATAACCGCAAGAATTGTAAACAGTAGAAATTTTTTATGTTCAGATTAACTCTATGTAGTCGTTAAAAATTAAAAAAAAAAACGCATTTTTATACAATTAAAAATGTATTTATAAAAAATAGTTCATAGTATATAGCAACTAAAAAGTATCTCTATTCGTAATAAAATAGTTCGAAATATATTAGATATAGTTCAGAATGGCAAAATTTAATGAACAAATAGATAAATTCAAAACTCAATGAGAATTAATTTAAGAGATGAATAAAATAAATCGCTGCTTTTACAATATAGCAAAGAAGGACAATTTGTTAAATATTTGAGTCAAAATTCATAAAAAACAAACAAATTATATATATATATATATATATATATATATATATTGTCTCTAACATGTTTTTGAGTTTTTGTCGATATCTGGCAAAAACGAACAGATTTTTATATACATATAAATGTTAATATAAGTAAATAAGGAACTATAAAATTGTAGTGTAAAATAGGTTTATGAATAATTTGCACCCTCATATAGCGAAAATCAAAAATACTTATAGTGCAGAGAAAATGTCTATATTCAAGACTTCATTTAGCGATTAGTTTGCATGGATTTTTAAACAATAAGGCAGAAAATTTAACAAAAATTATTTAAGCACATTTACCCAGATTTAAAACGATTTTGGAAGTTTGATTTAAAATTAGCAATCACGAGATAATTTTCTACAAATAAATAAGGAACAATATATCGTATAAATAATAGTCTATAAATATAATAAATATCTTAGCAAAATACTTCCAATTTGACATTCGAGTGCAGAAGATAGTTTACTCTATTAAAATGGCCTTTTCAGAATAGATGCGAATTAGTTAAGAGTGTTAAAATAATATAAATTATAGCACGAATATAACATTGAAAATATTATGATTAATTCATAGATATCAAAATGTTTTGCAAAGATTTTTCAAAAAACGATTTTGGGATAAATGTAGACGATCGTGCCTTACAAAGAAATTGAGTACTTTCAAAACTCCAGTCGCATTTGGACTAGTTATGTAAGTTATCAAATGACATAAAATTATTACATCCAATTTAATCATATATAAAAAATATAAAGTCGCTTTTGCAAAAATGCCTGCAACGATATGTGAAATTATTTTAGAATAGCAGTTTTAAATGTAAAAAATATATATGAAAATATGAAAAATGAATTTATGCGTGCAAATTATAATTGAATTCAATATACCACAAAACAAAAATAATTGTTTTTGTATTTTTTTATTATTCTTTTTTTTTGTTTTTTTCTTTTTATTATTTTCTTTTTTGTTTTTGCCGTTTTATTTTTTTCTTCTTTTTTTTATTTTTTATTTTTTTAGCAATCGGATTCATTAATGCATTTATTGATTATATTAAAATATCTGTCTCTAAAATTTATTATATTTTACATTAGAATATGTATGACACTTAATTATAATATAATAAGATTATAAATCAAATTTGAGACCGTTGCACTTATAATTTTATAAGTATAGAGTAAAGTCGTAGCCAAGAAATTATAAGGCTGATGGAGCAATTCATTATTTGATTTATGATATATATATATATATATATATATATATATATATATATATATATATATATATATATTACAAATGTATTCTGAGTGGATAATAGATATTAATTTGGAAATATGAACAAACAACACTCTTTTTGCACTAATTTATTAAATAATAATTTTCACAAACGTTTCGAGACTAGGTTTGTCTCATCATCAGTGTGTTATAATTAAAAAAAAATTTAAAATATGGAAATCTAAATTAGCATGTTGTGTTTTTCATTACACGGCGTTCACTGCACGTTGTTCTTTTAATACCAATGTCTTCGGTATTCGTATTCTCTCCTACTTGAAACCACTTGAAATTGTAAAGTCACTCAATCAGATAGGAAAAAAAGGATTAGGGTCCAGTTGAAAAATAGATGTCGTTAGGAGAAAAAATATTCTATGATGAGATGGTTTGTTTATAAGATTTGTTATACATTGTTGTAATTAAAAGTGTATGTACATCTATATATAAGCTACAAAGTATGAATGAGATTCAGGTATGTATCATGTAATATATTGGTATCTGTCCGTAAATTTACTGTGTTATTTGTATGGGCTATTAACATCGATTCTGCAATACTTCTTTTAAATAAATCTTGTTCATAATATAAAATGAGTGGATTATTGAAATCGAAACTATGGCTGTTAGAGATAGCGTGGTCTACAAGTGTACTTTTTATAAAATCTCATCAAGATCATGTTTCTTGACAGATGTCCTGAAGATGGAACGTACCTAGTTCCGAAACGTCGACAATAAACAAATAATTAAATAAAGAAATTGTTTTTTTAAAAACTTTTCTTGTTTTTTATTTTGTATTATTTTTGGATTCTTGTTCGAAACTCTACAAAATATACACAAATCCAAGACTCTACCATTCAATATATTCCAAGAACATATATATATATATATATATATATATATATATATATATATATATATATATTGTTACGAATGTGTGAGTGAGGACCCACACACGGATGTAAAATAACACATTACTACCCCTCTCCCTATGCGTGTAAACCATGTCCCTGATGAGGAATGTGTCCGCAGGCTGAGGGTGGTCGTCTGCATTTAACAGCCAAAGGAGTCGGTCGTAGGCCCTCAGGGGTGTCGGTTCGAAAGATACCGTTCTTAAGTATAAGTCGAAGGGATGAGCGCGGTGCAGTGCGCGCAATGTTTTATCAAATTAATGTTGGTGATAATGTAAGTTAAAATAATGTTATGGGGGGCAGCGTGTCGGAAGCTGCCCCAAACCGAAGATAGACTTGGTGTAATTATGAAATGTGATTAGTGTGATGCGAATCGGGATCCCGATGTATGGACATGTGATGGACACTGGTTGCGCCGTGGGTACAGAGATAAGTTTAGATTTAAGTTGTAGAGTTCAGATTGATCAAGTAGGGAATAAGTATGTAAATATATAAATATAGAATATTGTTTAGTTAAGTTACGAACAAACGCCTCTCATTACTTGTAGTTGTAAATTTAAATAACCTTTCAGCAGTACGCGATAAAAGGTAACAGTGAGTTTAACTGACTAACAATAAAATGAGGATTATAAATGAAAGAATTAAAAAAGGAATTCGTAACAAATAAAAGGAATCCGTAACAAATGGTGGAAGCGCCGGGTATGCTTTTCGTTGGTTTAACGATCAAATGATTAAAAAGTATTAATTTGTTTTGGTAATCATTTGATCCACCATCGACGGCATTATTACGATCTCGGTAAAACAATTTTATTGTTGGTTCATTCGCGGTTATATTTCCTTGCGTGTAAGTTTACAGTTTCCTCGTTTTATTTTTTTTTTGTTATTTTGTTATTGATCAATTTCGGGTTTCGATTTGTTTTTTCGCGAAGATTCGGCATTTCTTGATTACGCGTTATTATTAAATTGATATTTATGAAATTTGTTGAACTCTTGGTTATCATAGTTGAGTGTACAGAAGATTGTTGGAACACTTAAAATTATGAAAACATAGTGCAATTTGAAATAATGTTTAGCAGTATATATAAATTGAAATGTTGTTGTGTGATCAAAGGGGTTTTCTATGTATGTTGGGGTTAATGTAAACGTAATTTGCGAAATTGGTTGGCGCAAAAACGAATAATCAAGTAGTTCAAGTAATTGTTAGAATTTTGATTTGTGGATTTTGAAAATCTATTTAATTTGTAAAATTTAAAGGTTGTTTTATAATAATTTTGAAATGCTGAATCTATTTATTGTATTTGTATTTTTGTTCGTTAATGTTTCTTTTTGTTCAGTCGCGCGGTTTGTTTTATTTCGATTTTTTGGGAAAGGCTTTTGTTCGTGTACTATTAGATACGTGTTTCCTAGGTTAATTATAATTACCATCATTTTAAATTAAGATTATTAGAATATAAATTTTAAATTCGAAATTATTATAATTAGTGTATAGAAAAATATTGTTCTATACAGATTTAGAATTTTTGTTTATTACGAACATTATTGAAATTGTTTAGTGTATTGTGTTATTCATAATCATTTTCGTAAACACCAATACATAAAATAATTTTTTTTTTTTTTTTTATAAAATCT